TAAAACAAAAATGAAACGATCTTTTGTTTTGCTCACACATTGTTGTCAATATATTGGAAATCTATGTGACTGTCATACAAATGAGAGGTTTAGCTAGCTATAAAACCAGGTTTAATGCACCAATTTCTACATAAGGAATATGACAGTTGTTTTCCATTCGTTTGATGTGTTTGAGCTTTTGATTTACCCATTTTATAAAGGACTATTCGTTTTGGAATTTCCCTTGGAGTTCAGTATTTTTGTTATTCTCCTTTTTTCTCCTTTTTAGCTGCTTTTCTCATCACTTGGCGTCCGTCGTCGTCCGTCGTCGTCGTCCGTCGTCCGTCGTCAGTTAACTTATACAAAAATCTTCTCCTCTGAAACTACTGGGCCAAATTAAACCAAATTTGGCCTAAATCAACCTTTGGGTATCTAGCAATCAAGATGGCCGCCATGGCTAAAAATAGAACATGGGGTAAAATGCAGTTTTTGGCTTATATCTCTGAAACTAAAGCATTTGGAGCAAATCTGATATGGGGAAAAAAATGTTCAACAAGTCAAGATCTATCTACTGTAAAATTTTCAGACCCATCAGACAACCCGTTGTTGGGTTGCTGCCCCTGAATTGGTAATTTTAAGGAAATTTTACAGTTTTTAGCTATTATTTTGAATATTATAATAGAGATAAACTGTAAACAGCAAAATTGTTCAGCAAAGTAAGATCTTCAAATAAGTCAGCATGACCAAAATTGTCAATCGACCCCTTAAGGAGTTATTGCCCTTTGAATTTTAACAATTTTTCATAATTTTTGTTATCTTTTACAAAAATCTTCTCCTCTATAAGTTCTTGGCCAAATTAAACCAAACTTGGCCTAAATCATCCTTAGGGTATCTAGGTTTAAAAATGTATCCGATGATCCAACCAATCAACCAAGATGCCGCCATGACTACAAATAGAACATGGAGAGTAAAATGCAGTATGGCTTATATCTCTGAAACTAAAGCATTTAGAGCAAATCTTACTGGGTTAAAAATGTTCATCAGGTCAAGATCTATCTGCCCTGAAATTTTCAGACGCATCAGAAAACCCATTGTTGGGTTGCTGCCTCTGAATTGGTAATTTTAAGGAAATTTTACAGTTTTTGGTTATTATCTCGAATATTATAATGGATAAAGATAAACTGTAAACAGCAAAAATGTTCAGCAAAATAAGTTCTACAAATAAGTCAACATGATCAAAATTGTCAATTTACCCCTTCAGGAGTAATTGCCCTTTAAAGTCAATATTTTCCCAATTTTTCGTAAATTGTTGCTCCACTTAATCTACTAGCCAAATAGAATTAAATTAGCCACAATTTTCAATAGAGTATCTTGATTGAAAAATGTATCCATTGACCCTGTCATCTAGCCAACATAGCCGCCATGGCTAAAAATAGAACATAGGGGGTTTACTATAGAAGTCTATTGGAAAATTGTAAAAAACAATTTCAAATGGTCACAATTTGAAAACTAATTTAAATAATGATAAGGGGTCTTCAGTAACTATTGTAAGACTACAATGGGATGACCTGCTTTAAATTTAACTACTGGGCCGAATTAAACCGAACTTGGCCTCAATCATTATTAGGGTATCTGATACTATTTATTATGATTTTAACCTTATTTTTCATGATTTCCAAAACCACAGTAGATACAGGTGAGCGACACAGGCTCCTGATAGCCTCTAGTTATCTTTTCTAGTGATGAACGATCTGAAAAATCTATGGCTGGCAGCATCCGAGATGATAGCCATAAGAATGTATTGGTTTGAATGGGAGTTTCCAAACATAAGTTGTACAGAGACTGAAGTTTTGAAAGGAGTAGAAAATAAAGCTTCGTTCGAATGTGATGAATACTCAACGGCTTTTGTATAAATGACAGAAGGTCATTAATAGAGAAAGCATGGGGAGTAGGTGATGTATAATGACGATGACCATGACTGCGTCTACGTCGAGGAGCAGAGTTGAAAATATTCATCAAATTCACAGAGCTACAGGAAGGACTCGATAGAATACCTATACCATCAATTTGGCATTTCTAATGGTGTCGCAGTTTCTAATTCCCGAATCCAGTAGTACTCCTTTTTTTCTACGACGATGTGTTGCAAGATGAGGATTGTTAGTCATCTGCTATATTTTTTCGATGATGCGAAATTGCTTAGAATGAAATGCCTGATCAGACTGATAAAAATGTTGGTAATAAACTCATCATTGGTATCATAGGTAAATAATATCATTTGCATTGTTGTTAATGTCTGATCTATAACCGCACATACGTTTCCTTGGAGTTCGGTATTTTTGTTATTTTACTTTTTATTAGCATTCTTTTCGTTTCACCGACATAGACCAATCCGCAAAGGTTACACTCTAATCCGTAAACGAGTTTTGTTGATTTACAATTCAGATCATAGTAGTTCTGGTAAAGTAAGATACTTTAGTTAAACCGCTATAAAATTGAGCATCTGTTTTTTTTTCAAATTTAACAGGTTTGCAGTTTTGGGTTTACATTTAGAAATCAGACAGTATTGTGCAGAGTCATTAAAGTGCTGTTTTGAGATGAGAAGAGAAGAACTGTTCACGGCCTTGTGCGAAGATTGGGGTTGCTTTTGCTATTAGTAATGATCTGAATGTGTCGTATTCGAAGTATTGGTCATATATGGTGATAAGGGGACACCTGCCTTTACAGACGCCACTGTGTTACAGTGACAACTTTTTAAAACAGTAAAACTGTATACTATTTATGTTGATTACTTTTTATTATCACAAGCAGGCAAATAAATCATTGAGAATATATCAATAAAATATACATTTAATTTGTTATAAAATGAATTTAATACACAACGTATTTTTCTTTAAACAACATTTGCAAAATGATTTGTTGATTCGTCAGAGTGGGTCCTAAATCCTCTTTCTAATTCGCCTGAATCGCTGTTGTCGACTGGTAGCAGCCCATGCGTTTCTGCATACTCACACATACAAACTGCACGCGAGGTATGCCTGTAAGTTTCACTGTTTTCCAATTTCTGTTCAAGAAAATCTTGAACAAAATTAACAGACATGCTTATAAGTAGATCTCTTGCTTTCTCCTGAAATAATTTTTTTTAGATACAACTGCTTATCTCATAACATTATGTGAGAGCTGCATTAATCATGTTCGATGTAGTAACCACAGCAGTAGATTTAAATATAAATAGAAGATCAAGTGATGCCCTTATCGTATTGTTAGAAAAAAACTATATTTAATTCTTAACATTTAACTTTACGTTCCGCTATATAGATGATGTTCTCTCACTAAATAATACAAAATTTGGTGACTATGTTGAACGAATCCATCCCATCGAACTAGAGATAAAGGATACTACAGATACAGTTAAGTCTGCCTCATATCTTGACTTACATCTAGAAATTGACAATGAGGGTCGGTTGAAAACAAAACTTTACGACAAAAGAGATGATTTCAGCTTCCCAATTGTGAACTTTCCATTTCTATGTAGCAACATTCCAGCAGCGCCTGCATACGGAGTATATATCACCCAATTGATACGATATTCCCGGGCTTGTATTTCCTATCATGATTTCCTTGATAGAGAATAGCTGCTCACAAGGAAGCTATTAAACCAAGAGTTCCAAATGGTGAAGTTGAAATCATCCCTTCGTAAATTTTATGGACGCCATCACGAGTTAGTTGACCGTTATGGAATAACCGTTTCACAGATGATATCGGATATGTTCCTTATGTCGTAACTACAATACCCTTCCCTTTTCACGATTGTGATCTACCGAATTAGACTATTTACCGGATTTGTAATAGCATAAGCAACACGACGGGTGCCACATGTGGAGCAGGATCTGCTTACCCTTCCGGAGCACCTGAGATCACCCCAAGTTTTTGGTGGGGTTCGTGTTGCTTAGACTTTAGTTCTCTATGTTGTGTCATCTGTACTATTATTTGTCTGTTTGTCTTTTTATTTTTGGCCATGGCGTTGTCAGTTTGTTTTCGATCTATGAGTTTGAATGTCCCTCTGGTATCTTTCGTCCCTCTTTTAACATGATGATACAAAATTTTGAATAAATTAACATGATGTCTTGGTTATAAAAATAAGTACATTAAGCTTCATATAGGTATCTGTGGCATTTCTTTAGTTCAGTCTAATTTAGTCTGTTTTGACGATTGATGATAAGTACCAAATGATGACGAAAACCAATATGTATATAAATATATGAGTGTGTGTGTATGTTTACGTATGTATGTATATATAATTCACGTTGGATACAAAAATACTATTGATATATTTTTGTTTTCCTTTTATGTAAAGTTACATCTCAGATAAAATACAAAAACACATTTGTTTTTAAAAAATATTCAAAAAGCGTTCCAGCCGGTTTCACATATGTTGAAATATTCATGGATGCATGTATATTTATAAGATGAATATAATACAATAAGATTATTAACAACATCTTCTTATTAAATACGTTTTACAGAATATCACGAAGGCAATGTACATAGAAATAATATAATTGGTAAGATAATGTAAACAATCTTCAAAAAGTAAAATAATCATAAAGAGGTGAAATATAATAAGACTCATTGATGTGGCATGGTACAAGTTATAAATTTCACTACGGACAAAAATAATGATTATTCTATTTATTGAAAGCCATATTACTGCATGAGTACTCAGATATGTAAAACGGTTATAAATATCTTATTGAATATGATATTTGAAGATTATGTTCACAAAAATACAGCAATTTGTTTTTAAAGATAAGTCATTTTTCTTGGTAAAGGCTTCATGCTTCTTATAAAGAATAGTATGAATTTGATAAATTTATCTTAAAAAGCCACCATTTTATAGACCTTTTGCGAAAACAGTCTATTCTTACACATTCGCAATTTCCCTTTTGAAAACTATCTTACTCTTTAAGTCAATGAATTATGGATGTAATAATATAGTTATATTAGTTCTGAACTTCACTTACTCGATCATTCTCTTCAATGTTATTAGTAATTTCTTCGTTCTCTAAGAGAGAAATGATTGCTTCGTCGTTGGAATCGTTAACTGTGCTATTACTCGTAGATCCATTTTGAATACAGCATTCATTATCACATTGGCTAGTGTCAACATTGTTTTTTTGGAAACACTGTTCCAAGTAATCCTGTAAAACATAGACAAACATTATGTTAACTGTGTTTGTTATAGTGGATTTATAAATCAGACTGACGTATGCTCATGTTCACCGTCGCAGCACATAAACGTAATAAATTCAAATAATGTTTTGTGTAATGTATACATATTTTTTGTCAATTGGACCTATATAATGACACCGCATGTGATTAAAATTACATAATGATAACATTTTCAATAGTATTAATTCAAGAAAAGCGATGTGTTCCTATTTGGAACACAGGCAAATTTTGCTCATTTGAATTTCACGTTAATTTTACATGTATCGAGCTTATACGTTAAATTCACGTGAAATTAACGTGAATCGAGCTTTCACGTGAAATTCACATGAAATTGTTCACGTGAAATTATCGTTAATTGAGCCTCTTTCACACAAATTTTACTGTATTTCAACATATTTTAGATAAGTTAATATTAATCTAGTACACGTTCTCTTTTATATACTGGTATATTTGACATATAAATATTCTTCTTTTGGTCTTGACTCTGTTCATACTTCCATTCTATATTCCATTCTTTGTAACTAAAATGTCTTAGTCCTAAACAATACAAATGGTATTTATCCATCAGTCCTTTGAACTCCCACCAACAGCATCACCAATGTAATAGATAAGATGCGATAAAACCAAGTAGGTAAGCAAATGCGTCTCATTGACAATTATGCCACATATTCTTAATTTTAAATTTACAGATTAATAGTTCACTGTCAATCAAAAATTTTCAATAACATAGATAGCACAGTAATGCATCTGAGACACTATATAAGTCCTAAAATTTATTTATTATTGAAATTGGTATAAATTTTCCTGGTTTTTAGAATCTTAAGTTTTTTTAATAGCAAAGTGTAAATGTAACCATTCTTTCTCAAGGGAGATAATGCATGCTTAACAAAAAGATTACTATTAATCATTTGATGATAATACGTCCCACTTTTAAGTAAATCTTGAGACACAAAGCATGACATCTTTGAAATGATTCAATTTGCAAATGAAAATTGAATTAATAATGGCATGTGTACAATTCAGGTGAATTTGTATCTCATGTTATAAAAATTTAACTCAAGAATGTGAAATTTCTCTTATATATTCAATGTTCAATTCAGATGATATAAAACATAAATTCTTCACATGAACTTTGATTCATGTTAATTTAACGTGAAATCGTTCACATGAATTTAACATGAAAATTTTCACGTGAACATCGATTTTTTTTTAAGAAAGTGAAGATTTTCAAAGGAATATATGGTTTATTTAGTACAAGGTGTTAGCTGTTAACAAAAGTTATAAGTTTGAGTTGATATTTTTCAACTTGAACATCATTAATATTTTTAGTGTGAAATTCACGTGAAAAATTTAACGCGATATTCACATGAAATAAATTCAGGTAAAATTCACGTGAACAAAATCTTGCTGTGTAATTAATCCAAAGTAAATTAAGTTGAAAAAGCACGTGGGGAATTACAAATATACTACTTGCATGCTATTAGTATATTTGTAACTATTCTAAATAATACAATGGTTCAGTGGAAAATATACCAGAAGCAAAGATATACATGAACCTTAAACAAAATTTACTCCACACTCAAAAGTGTATATAATTTTATAAAAAAACGAGGAAACCCAAAATCCTTTCCACATAGACATGTTTAATTGTCTGAAAATATTAAAAGGTTCTTATTCTAGCCTGTAAAATAAAAAAATAAGAAGAAACCCCCCCCCCTTTCCCCCAAAATAATATTTCTCAACAAATGGTTATGTTATGAAAAATTTAAGACAATCTAAATCCTTCCATTTTGCTTATCTTTAGTTACATTGATGTAGCACTGTTTTAAAAAAAATAATTTCAAAAGATTCAACTATCTTAACTCTTATAAGAATTTAGCATACAAAACTTGTACCCTTTATTGGACATTTTCACCAAATTGACCAAGGTCAACTACTGGAACTTTTGCGGAAATAGAAAAAGTATGTGATCTGACGAATCGACTGACAGAGATAAATACATTTGCCCCTATTGCCAGTCTCAGGGGAATACAAAGATGTCCATACAAAATTTATCTGATTAGCAGTATCTAATGTTTAAATTCACATTGTATGACTACCACTTAGTGCAAAGAAGCTATTGGTAGTGAAATCTAAATTTCAAGATTATGCAAATCCAATTAAACAAATTGTCAATTCATATGTCACATGTACGTGCATATTAAAAGATACTTGTAGATACGTTAACTACATACCAGACAAGGTCGACAGTTGAAATAAATAAATATCACCTACAATTAGAAAGAAAAATGATTAATAAATATAGATCAAATTGAAAAAAAATACTCTACAAACAAAATTCGTTCGTTAGAATCTAAAGGGCTATGGGTAATCTCACTATCGTACACCAACATGAAAATAATGTTACATCATTGATAGGATTTCCATTGTTTATAGATATAAGAAGATGTGGTATGAGTGCCAATGAGACAACTCTCCATCCAAGTCAAAATTTATAAAAGTAAACCATTATAGGTCACAGTACGGTCTTCAACACAGAGCCTTGGCTCACACCGAACAGTAAGCTATAAAGGGCCCCCAAAATTACTAGTGTTAAACCATTCAAACGGGAAAACCAACGGTCTAATATATATAAAAAACGAGAAACGAGAAACACTTATGAACCACATCAACAAACGACAACTACTGAACATCAGATTCCTGACTTAGGACAGGTGCAAACAAATGCAGCGGGTTTAAACGTTTTAATGGTACCAAACCTTCACCCTTTTTCTGAAACAATAGTGTAACATCACAACATAGAAAGACACACTATAAAATATCAACTGAAATAGCTTAACTCAATCAAAGGACATATTAACGCCATTGAACATACACTGAACAAATAAATTTGACCATGATACAATGTAAATACAAAATAAATAAACTAAGGGAAGAATAATAAAAGCAACATGTTATATCGGTATGAAATGTTAAACAATTAAAGAAAAACAATCTGCTCGAACAAAAATATCAGCCGCTTGCAATAACTTTTAACACAGGTAAATGAAAATAATTTTGTTGTTAGGTATACGTATACAGTTCCAATAGAGAAAGGAAATATTTTTACAAAATAAATAATTTTGATGTTCATAGTACGAAGTGAAAATTTATAGTAATACCAAACACTTATAAAAGCTGGTATATAGACCAGATATAACCCTGAATAACATTAAATAACAAAATAGCAATACAATTAGTATCAACAGGTCAAATAAACAAGAAAGTACGATTACGTTATAAACCAATTACAACGTTTTGGTGTACGCTTCTGAAAATATTACCTAGAATGCATTAGAATCTGAAACGGCAATTCAGAGGGTCCAAGAAGTCTGTTTGTTTAGTTTTGTACTTCGATCACAATATGAATATTTTTCAATATTTGAGTTATTTGATCAGTTATTCTTTTTATTACATTCACTTTTTAAGTGAAATAAAGAGAAAATGCAAGGAACTATATCTTTTTGACGCATTCTCAATTCGTTATGTCTGAACGTCATCGACAATGTCTAGATAGCATTCATTGTTGTATGATGTCAGAGTGATGATATTATTTGATTAACGCGTGAGTTAAATATCAGTTTTGATGGTAACGAGTTAAATGTTTTTCAATATTCCAATTCTTTGATTTGTTTATTTTTAAATTACATTACCATAGACTTTTTGATATAAATAGAAAATAAAGGAGCCGTATTTTTTAACGTATTTTCAACTCGTTTTGATGCAATAACATTGACAATACCTTGCCAATGCAAATAGTTGTTTGACGTCAGATGAGTTAAATTTTCGGATTATTCACATGTGAAATTATGATTTTTTCCATGGAAATCACAGTATTTCATTATATTCAATGTTTAAAAGTAATTATCAAGTTATAACTTTTGTGACAAGTGTTTTTCCTTAACACATTTTTATAAACAAATATATAGTTTCTCACATTTGTGCATTCAGGTCATTTGGACTGTGTTGAATACTCTCATTAGCAATTACATCACATCTCCTTGCTAATAATAAAAATTGTTGTTCAGTTTACGTTTCCTTCTCTTTCACAACATATTCACATTGCAAGTTAAAAAGATATTTCAAAGTACCTTTACTGTAGCGGAACATTTATAATGTTTGAATCCAACCAATAAATTGTGGTCAATTAATCTGTGATTAGCAATCATCAGTGCCTTGAACATTAATTTCCTTTTCTAAAAAGAAAAAAAAAGTCGTAAATGCGAATGAAATTATCAAAGATTTCACGGTAATTCACAATTCTGAACTCTTTATTAAGTTAAGTTAATTATATAAAGACAATGATTTTCACAATGAGTCTGTATGATAAAAAACTAATATTTTTTTTAACACAACTCAAGAGATGTTTGTGACTTTTATCTTTTGATTCCATCATTTGCCCGTCTAAAACCAAAGGCAATTGTATTCGGACTCTTGTGTCATGGTCACAATAAGCTGAGGAAAATAAAATAGAGCCGTCAGAAGTTGTCAACTCATGCTAATTTGAGTTTAATTTTGATCAAATATCGATAAAAAAATAATCGAAACAATTTAATACTAACAGAAGAATTTTATTATTTTTATTTGACAAAGGTCGTTTTATATATAGCCCAGGTACTTAAATAACAAAACTGTCGACTTATCAACATATTAAGGCTGTAATCGAAAAACGAATCATAATAATCTGTCGTTTTATTGTTTTTCCCTTTACTCTAAAACATTCATAAATCTTTTTAAATAAAGCAGAGCCAAACCATTAACATAATGATTTATTAATTTGTGCCATTGTGTTGCTGTCTAATTAGCAGTTTTCCAAGATTGCTTTTACATTGCGTATACATATTGTGTACAAGTTATCATTTTGAACACATTTATAGTTTTTACAAAAAAAAAATGTACAAATTGTAATTTGTATGTTAACTTTGTACAAATCATGATTTATAATTTGCTCCTTACTTTGTCAAACGTAACAAAGGATATATGACAATTTAACATGATAGAAAAGATGGCCTTCAATATATTTTTAACAGTAATACATTTTAATTGCCTTGCATTCAACCCTTTTTGAACACTTTTGGACTGTTTATTTTTTTGGGGTCATTTGTTTTAATAAGTTGTGAAAGATATATATCCCCGGTGCTTGTGCACGTTTGGTCGTTTACTAATTTGATGATATTGTGTGAACATGGCCAGCATTATTGATCAGCAGGATAAATTTGTCCAAGAAATTCTGAACCTAGCAGAGAATAATACATGAAAGCCCAATCAAGTGTTCACCAAGGATTTTTGGTACCGCATTTGAACAGCTATAGGAATTTTGATAAACAGTTTGTCTAGAATTCAAATTAAAGCTGTTAAAGACACATGTTTTTTTTTCGCAGCAACGGTACATGAAGCAGTTAAAAAGCCTTTAAAAACTGATGGTCAGTGGTTTCTTTCATGCGACTGCAATGGGGGATGCATTACTTTTTAATGTAAAAACAAGAAATTATTTGAATGTGGAATAATTTTGAACTCTGGAAAATTGATAATAAATGTATGATGAAAACAAACCAAATCAAGCAGTGTTAGCCATGCATGCACGGCTAAAGGGGGTTAATTAGTTCATACTGAAATATCAATGAAAGTAACTTGAACCTTTACCACGCTGTAAAGTTGTGTTAGTTTTCATAATACATTTCGTATCAATTTCCCAGAATTCAAAATTATGTCAGATTCAAATAATTCCTTGTTTAAATGTAAAAAGCAAAAGATGTTGTGTAATTCCCGATCCCATAATTCTCTCACATGATCAAACAAATGATACAGAACTATTTTGTATTTTGTAAATAAGGTTTACAGTGTGGTCATTAAATAGAAATGCTATGGTGTGTATCGATGCTTTTATTACCAAGTCCATAATATAAATTATTGTACAAGTTATAAGTGAATTCTAGTCAAATTTTGTACAATTGTAGTTTGAACAACTGTTTTGAACAATTTGTACAAAGTTAAAATACAAATCATAATTTGTACAATATTTTTTGTAAAAATCATATTTTGTACAAAATGATAACTTGTACACAACATATTGAAGGGAAAATTGCATCTCTGAGAACATAAAGTTATCAAAAGGCCTATGTTAAAATAATTTGATAACATAAGAAGCATACATGATATCTTCCGAACGCTGCAATGCCTTATTTGCTCTTTCCAATTGTATACCAAATATGTTGGAACGCAATTACACCTGTAAACCATAAAATTTCAACCAAATGGTTATGTTGAGCTTTTCTGGTACAATATATCAAAAATATAGATAGAGTAGGTCGACTTTTCATCAATGTTATTGTCAATCTGCAAATATTTTGTTAAATAGGAGAATGTCATGCCATAGATAACTAATTCAAATGACATCAGAATGACTTTTCTCCCGCAGGTACGTGCGGACAGCTCAATGAGTTTTAGACAAAATGACAGCGAGTTCATTAATACGTAACGTATATATCGGTATATAAGTGTTCTTCTTAATCAATATGACTTCTATTTCTTACGAATATAATTTTATTAAGCTGAATATGTTATAAAGTATGTCAGATTGAGATTGTCTGGTATCGGTTGTGATATTCTGGAACAATGTTGAGATCTACTGTTCAGTAATATTTTCAACTAGCTACGTATCAATCGGATACAACCGTTAAAATTTATGAACTTTCTGTATAGTTGTCATTTTAACTTGTTTCCGGTTTTGACATTAGTTTTATATGGAGTCTTGTTGCTCTAATACAAATACTAAAGAGCGTGTTTTAAAGTCTATAGCTAGCTATAGATTTAACTTCAAGCACTGTACCAATAAAGTTCGGCGCAGGAGATGCAAAGTCCAGCGCTGTACATCTTAATTTTCAGAACTGTAGACGAAAAGTCCTGCCTTGCTTCCTAGCAAATAAGCCTTACGGTTGTGTCATGTATGTGCATATGTATGGAAACATCATCTTCCGTAGATTTGATTAACAATAGGTAAACTGGTAAAATATAATCTCTTTTAGGTGTTACCAAGGAAACAATTTGCGTTTATTTGATACAAAATATTGCAAAAAGGGGGATGAAATTGTCACAAATGTCCCTATAATATGGTCCAAAGTAGAATTTCAATCCATTTGAGTGACATCTTTTCTAAAACCATTGGCATTTATCTATCTAGATGTCAAATAAAAATCATATGCATTTAACATCATTTTTCGATAAAAATGAATTGAAAAGTTTGAGCGTATAAAAAATGTTAAAAAACACGCTTCAATAATTTCTTGACCTAATGCCGGTACGGATGTGATACAAGGACTGTCAAACAGAAAATTGCCTATAAAACATGCGAAAAACAATCTTGATGTTCATATAAATCCCTTTTAAAAGCTATATTATTCTTCACAGCTATCTTATAATACATTTAATGCACATTAACTTTCTTATTTGACAAATTTACCGGGGCCGAATTGCGAAACCAAACTCCTAACTGTGTATTGCTGTTACCTCATACCTACAGCGCTCGACCTTACATCTACAGCGCTTGACCTTACATCTTGAGCGCTAGATTTTACTTCTCCAGCGCTTACTTAACATCTCCAGATCTTCAACTCTAGACTTTACATCTCGTTTTCTATGCTTTAAAAACCACTACTCTTTAGTATCTTATTAATAGACCAACAGAACTCGATCATACAAAACTAATGTCAAAAACAAGAAACATGTTATAATGACATCCACTATACAGAGGACTCACGAATTTTTACGGTCGTATCCGATTGACAATTAGCAATTGGAAGTTTTATTTGACAGAAGATCTGCACATTGTTCCAGAATATCTCAACCGATACCAGAAAATCTCAATCTGACATACTTTATAGCATATTCAGCTTATTAAATTTATATTCGTAAAGAAATAGAAAAATAAGCTGTTATTCTACGTTTATAGTGACGAAAAAGAACACTTATATACTGATATATACTCACAGTCATTTTGTCAAAAACTCACTTAGCTGGCCGCACGTACCTGCGGGAGAAAAGTCATTCCGATGTCATTTTAAATTAAATTGGTCCAGGTAATGAACGAGACAAGCTCTTATTTAGTTATCTATGGCATGATATTCTCCTATTTAACAAAATATTTACAGATTGAAAATAAATTGATGAAAAGTCGACCTACCCTATCTATAATTTTGATATTTTGTACCAGAAAATCTCAACAGGAAGTGCCAGAATACTTTTTTCTCGCTTAACCATTTGGTTGAAATTTGATGGTTTACTAGGCGAGGTAATGTCGCTTCTCTTCGGGGATAATTGTGTAGCTAGATATACCTGTTACACAGAGACATGTCAGTCTAGTTTCAAAATTTTGAAAATAAAACTGACGTCGGAAACAATACGTCTATATTTCACATGAAAGACGTTTTTTGTCGAAGGCGAAATAGGGATCCTAAAATCGAAAACGAATAAATAGTTAACTTTCAATTGGATTACATACTTTTATAACGATATAAACGTAACCAATTTTACTGCACCAGATGCGCATTTCGAGAATACATGTACCTTCAGTGATGCTCAAAGCCAACATATATTCTAGTCAATGCTGTTCAAAAATGCAAAAGGTTTATATATATCTATTAAAAGATTTTGTTGTTGTTGCTTAATCTGAATGGACCAGGACATTGGCAATATGTCAATGAGACAGCAACACCAAAACACAAATTACCTTAACCCTCTAGAAGTCATTATAATGTCTTCAACAATAGAAACGTTTCTATCTATCCAACATGCCAAGCGTTAATTCATGCCAAGTATTAAAGATGAATAAATACAACAAAAATTACAAAAGTTCTCCAAAATCGGATTCTCCAAACCAATTTAATTAAGAAGTTAGGTATCCACTGAAGAGGATCCTGATTAAAAAAACATTTTTTTAATTTTTCAACCATGAACAAAATTTAAAGAAGTTTACTAACAAAAGGAACACCAAAGACCACACAAAAACAATCAGTACAGGAGAAAGTAAAATCACAAAAATACTGAACTCCGAGGAAAATTCAAAAAGGAAAGTCCCTAATCAAATGGCAAAATCAAAAGCTCAAACACATCAAACGAATGGATAACAACTGTCATATTCCTGACTTGGTACAGGCATTTTACTTACTTTAAAGATACTATATAATAAATAAAAAAAAAAAAAAAAAAAAAGTACAAAGTTACTAAACCATTATAAACGATATCATACCGGTTAACCTTTTGACATATAATCATGCCGTTCTAAACTCTCTAAATCTTATGCATGTACGTAAATTAAAATACATAACTTTGATTGTACGCAATTTAGATATCATTAAAAGAGAGGCGAAAGATACTAAAGGGACATTCAAACTCATAAGTCGACAATAAACTGACAATGGCATGGCTAAAAACGAAAAAGACTAACAGACAAACAACAGTACTCAAAACACAACATAGAAAACTAAAGACTGAGCAATACGAAACCAACCAAAAACTGAGGGTGATTTCAGGTGCTCCAGAAGGGTAGACATATCCTGCTCCACATGTACATTAAAGGATTTAATGCTTGTGAATAAAAATACCGGACGTAATGCTTTTAAATCTACAACCAAAACATTTCCATTATGAAAAACACTATTTGATATAGATAATATAATATTTTGGTCTGGAGAACAATTGACGTTGACCTTAACCACAGCCTGTACAGATGATACTAACTGCATAGCGTTCATGTTGTGGGTATCTCAACATTGTTTCAAATACTTTAAGAACTTCAATACACAAGTTTTATGTCCTACGGTAACACGGTGTCCGTTAGAAGTTGAACAATACTAAAATGATGGAACGCCTGATTTTTATCAAGATTTTGCTCTTTTCTGCGGGATTGACACAGATTGACGACATCAATCTATGACAAACGTGACGTATTTAACTTTCAAAAACGTTGACGTCATATATCTCAAAATTAACAAACCGCTGCTCCATCCTATGGCGTCTACACATCTCAGTTAACACGTCACGCTTGTTCACAATTTACGGACTTCGTTAATAGAAATGTTTTCTTTACACAAAAGCTGCTTCAATAGAGTTCTCTGAGAGGAAAAAAAAAAAAAAAAAAATACTACAACCGATGATTCATAAGTTTTATGGTCACCATCACAATACAATGTCTGTGTCTCAACTCATTCACAATCGCGACGTGTTATGGTGGTCTCTGAGCTTTAGAGATACCAGAATAGTCGTTTTATCATTAATTGTTTGATTAACGAGATTTGAACATCGGGAAACTACTATCGTATTACTACTACTAGGGGTTGTTTAACGACCTTGACTACCTATGAGTGTCTCACACGGTCGGACTGTCGTCTTAATTTACTAAGACCTATACCAAAAATGAAATACTTAGTAGTGAAATAAGAAAACCCTAATAAGAAGCTTAAAGTTCACAAATATACACATCATCGTCAGCATGGTAGTCCATTCAATCGTCTACAAAGATTTAACACAACCATAAACTGTATTAAAAAAATGCAAGATTGTTGCCATTTTTTGGTCGATTTTCGTTGTATGTTTTTGTGTTGTAAAGTTTTGGTAAACATTATTCAAGTCTTTGGTATATACGTTAGAGCTACTAGTATAATTAAAATCCGAGTATCATCCGACAAAAGGACCCAACTCCCCAAATAATTAAATCAAAAGTAAAATTAAAAAGATAACGACACTTTAAGAAAAATATAATGGAAAAAGGCGAAAGATAGCAATAAAACAATAAAAACCTCGAAGAAAAAAAAAAAAAAAAAAGACGAAGAGAGAAAGATATTTGTGCAACTGAAATGTTTTACTAAATCGTTTCAGGTAGAAATTTAAAAAGAAATTCTAAAAGAATACGGAGTACGGGATTTATTTTATCAATCGAAGTTTTATAATTTTGAAAACGTGTACTTGAATATAACCCATTTGATTGGAACAATGATGACTTCTTAGCGTTTAATTCAACAGGAAACCAGGGTTATTTTTAGCAATTAAAATTTCACAAGTAAATGAATTTTGGGAACCTAAGGCCTCTTTGGTCGAGAAAAAAAGTCTTGAGAACTACTTCATATCTGTTCATAGTATAGTAAAATGCATGAAATAAAGAAGAAGAAATGAATGGGGTATAATTTTTATATTACATTGTATAATATCCTACTATTCGCCTTTTCATGCAAATATTAAAAACCAAACAGAGTTTCTCGCAGTCCAAAAGCTAGTACATAATATCAACAAGCATAAAGTTGCAACTGGATGAATTATTTAGAAATGCGATGCTAACAAAACTTTCATCAGTTTTAGTGCAAATTTAAGATCATGTATGGCAAATTTTAAAACTCATTTATTATCTTACCTGTAATATGTGAACGGAACAGCAAATTAACCAAACAAATGCTAGTACTATGAACAACCCACAAAATACCATCATTCCTATACTTCCTCGAAGTTGATTATGTATCAGCTCATTTTCAGTGATGTTTTTTTCCTTCGCTCGAAACTTTAATTTATCCATAGCATCTCCATCAGATGGAAGGTGTGTATAGTATACATATTCATAGTAGAAAATTATTAAAAATAGAAGTCCAATCCCAAATGATGCAGACCCACAGCAAACTGTTGGACACCAAGGAAATAGGCTATGTCGATGTTTGAAAAAGGATGAATGAGAAATGACTTGCAGCACACCTTTGTACGTGAAGTTGTTGATCTGTGAAACAAAAAAGATAATACTGCATTTAATTCATGAATTGCTAAGAAGAAAAAAAAACCTGCATGATACCGTTTTTCACCCGCACGAAATGTGTTTCTCGACCAACAGGATTAAAATTGTAAATTGATTTTATTACTTAGGCCAATAACCAGTTAATAATATCTCCCTCCTGCAAACCTTTGATTCCTTGTCCGAATTTGTCCAAATTTGTCCAAATTTGGGTATACTTAAAGTCCATTTTTGTATAATCAACTCTTCAACGTTTGAATTAGGTTTTGTATCTAAAAATATGCTGGCCTCGAGCATCACTGAAGAGACATAACTTGTCAAAATGCGCATCTGGTGCGGTAAAATTTGTGTTGTTTATGTTATTAATGACTGTCCATATACCTTTTTTTTAAAAGTGCACTTGAAAATAATAAGGATTTTTCCAACCATGATTATATTAGCTGCATTTGGTAAAACCTTTCAAATCCTTAGCACTCAATGCTCTTCAACTACGTTCTGTATTTGGTCCTTTAACGTTTTTGATTCGAGCGTCTCGTTGAGTATTTTTGTAGACGAAAAGCGCGTTTGGTGTACACAATTATAAGCCTGGTATCTTTGATGAGTGTTTTTGTGATAATATATTTAAATATATGTTGGAAAATGTAAAGAGAAGTATATGTTATCGATTTTGTATTAGAGGTATCTCATTACATTTATTTTTTAAATTGTACATTGAAGAAGGGAAAAACATAAAATATATAGGACTCCTTCAATCTGTTCACAATCTTTTCTTTCGTTTGGTCTGTCAGGTTTTTTTGTCGCGGCGTAATATAAATGTAAAAATCCCATTAAGGATATTTATGAGTGACCTTTCAACATCCATCAAACAGAAAACAACCCTGATTGCATCTTTAAACTGGTTTTTTTTCTTTTTGTGTAGTAGTTTATCTCTCTCAAAGAAATAGATTAAATAAATTATGTTTGGATGTCCGTTCTAAACTGTTTCCGAAAAACTTTTTCATTAACTGTTTTAAAATTCTCGTATTATGGATCAAGCATTAAAACGTTCATAACTAACTATTTAATAAACCTCTGAGACTTCCATTCCTTTCCTGATTTAAGACAGTAGTATAATAATTTCAACGTTTGTTTGAAAGTGTATCTCTCCAGAAACAATACATATATATCAACTAAAACATATATGCGATTTAAAGTACATGAATTATAAATCATCCGTGCTGCACGTATGCTTGTATGTTTTTATAGTTTTTTGCCAATTATAAATACAAAAGAAAACATCAAAAGTAACCTCCGACAGCAATCAACACTTAAATTGTACGTAGTGAACGTTGGTTTCATCCAAATATAAAACAAACAAATCAATTTGATTTTAAATGAATGAAACATATGTACATTAGTCAATGTTTACTGATTTTTATGTTTCAACCAAAAATAATATACTATTACTTATATTTTGATCTTTTTTTTTTTTTTTTTTTTTTACTCAAATTGATTCTTTATTGCACATATTGCTGTTTTAACAATAAAACTTGGTGTACAGCATTCCATCAAGTATCCCTGCTAAATTTACTACTAAATATCCAGGGAGAATATTCCGTAGAATTAACAATAAATAACATTGGTATAAATATCTGAATAAATAAATTACTGTTACAAACAGTCTTTATTAATACAAAATTTGTATACTATTTATATTTATAATAATATCTGTAATATTCCAATATCTATAATTACACAAGTTTGTCGGTATTTTTACGGAAATTATTCTTTACTCCGGAATTGGTTTTTTTATACCAGAAACGAAATGCGGTCAGTGACCTCGCACGTTTTTTTCAATCTTTCAATTTTGAGAATACACAATTTTCAATCCTGGTGTTTGCATATATTTTTTAATGATTTGGAAATTTGGAATAATGATTCGAAAAAGGTAAGTTGTTGTACTAATATAATTTTGTGTTTACAACTTAATTTATAATTATTAAATAGATTCGTTATTGATTTGACCCAAATAAATATTGTGTCGTGACCTTTACCTATCAAATGTTTGTAAACATTTAAAACATTGGTACAGCATCAATATATTCAAAGATCACACACACGCCTACATATACCAATGCATCTGAAGTATCCACAGGAACATACTTTGGTACATACATACTTTTGCAATTACAACATTGTACAATGTACAGCATCACATGCCTATGCTTTTTTCTACAGTACAGGTACTACAACAAAAATACTTTCTGTAGCTCTATTAATAGTACCAGCTTAATTTTATAAAATTACATCAGTTTTTGCTCAGAGTATAGAGTCCTTTTTTTTAGTAAACTATTTGATACATACATTTCATACTGTTTTATTTTGTACTCATTTCTTCATATCAGAGGTGAATTATTAAGCTAGTCCAAACAATTATGAGTCTCAAAAGACCAACCCAATCATTTTTCCCTGACACCTTCCTTCGACGTAGTTAAGCCTCACAGAAAAAGAAACTATGGCAAAATATAATGCATTAATTTCCACCTGAACATTTTTATTTTATTATCTTTAAGATACTCAAAAGTAAATTTAATAGAGTCTTTGAATTCATTTTTTAGTCTTCCTATACTTAAGACTCTTTCCCATTTTAAAAAACCGGTTGGTATTTCTATTTTTACTAGACTTAGTACAATTTTGTATATGTCTTTATTATTGATAGTTAGTACATTATTATTATCTCTAAGTTTAATTTTAGTTCGGTTAATATGGACTTAAGTTTTGAATGATTCCTCTGTTTTTAATTTGTCTGTCCATTGTTTTGGTATGGATTTTTTTAGTTTTGATAGTTCAGAAATCCAATTGCTTTTATTTCTTAATTTTGAAATAATTATTTCTTCTGATATATGTCATTTATATATAATATATCACTATCAATCCAATTATTAAAGAACAGACATTTAGCTTGAAATTTTATGGATCTATTGCCCCATATTACTTGTTTTCTGATATCTAAATAATTATCGATTTGATCATGATGATTGTTTTCATAATTGTTTACAGTTATCCATGTTTTTATCATCTCTTGATAGAAGATTGGCGTATCATTCCATATTTTTCTATCTAGAAGTTTTGTGCTATTTAGATTCATCTTGAAAATGAGCAGGTTTTTTCCAAATTTATTAAGGTGTAATTTTGATAATACAGACCAGTTTGCATTTCCTGATTGTAGTATTTTTAAAATCCATTTTAAATGTATTGATTTTATATAAGACTCCATATCAATCATTTTTAACCCCCCCTCAGAGAAATTTTTAATTATTATTGACCTTTTTATTTTATCTTTTCCTCCATTCCAAATGAATTTATATAAGATTTTATTTATATTTTGTAGATAATCTTTAGTTATGATACTGTTAGTAGCAATGTACGTTATATTTGGTAACAGAAGAGCTTTTACTATTAATATTTTTCCAAGTAGTGTTAACTTTCGTTTTGATCATCTTTCTACAAGTTTTGCTATTTTGTCTATCACCTTTTCCATATTTAATGCTTGACATTCTTTTCTGTCATACCCAAAATAGATACCGAGGCTTTTAATTGGTTTGTTTGTCCAGTTTATATTTTCATATTTATCTTTTGAACTTTTTAATCTCCCTAACCATACCCCTTCTGTTTTGTTTCTATTAAGTTTAAGTCCTGAAAAACTTCCAAATGTTTCAATTATGCTAAGAGCCAAACTTATTTCTTTTCTTGACTGTAGAAAGAGTGTTGTATCATCCGCTAATTGGCAAATTTTTAAATTACAAGATTTTCCTTCTAATTTTATTTTTATTCCTTTAAAATCTTTATTACTTCTTAGTCTTATTGCCATTAATTCTACTGTTATGACAAAAAGGAGAGCTGAAATCGGACACCCTTGTCGTATTCCACGATATATTTTGAAAGGACCTGAGACCCACCCATTATTTAAAATACATCCCTTTATGTCTTTATACATAGTTTCAACCCATCTGATAAAACTAGTTTTAAATCCAAACTTTTTCAGAGTTTCCGTCATAAATGTCCATTCTAACGAGTCAAAGGCTTTACTAAAATCCAAAAAAAGAATTGCTCCTTCTATATTAAATTTCTCAGAATAATCTATAATATCTTGTATTTGTCTGATGTTAAAACCAATATATCTGTTTTTAACATATCCGGTTTGATCTAGACTAATGATAGATGGTAGAACTTTTTTAAGTCTCTGAGCTAACACATAAGCTAATAGTTTTGTATCAATATTCAATAAAGTTATGGGACGGTAATTATTTAATGAAAGAGGGTCATTCTTTTTAAATATTAGTGAAATTGCACCTTTCTTTTGAGAGTTTGTTAATTCTTTTTTTTCATAGTTATAATTAAATACCTTGACAATAATATTTTTTAAGCTATTCCAAAATTGCCTATAAAATTCCACTGTTAGACCATCTAGACCGGGGGATTTATTTAGCTTCATTTTAAATATTGCAGCTGTACATTCAGTTTCTGTTACTTCCCCTTCACATTGATTACTATCTGAGTCTTTTAGCTTTTTTGGTAGCTCTGTTTCTTTAATATACATTTTAACATCATCATCACAAGGGTTAGTGGACTCATAGAGAGTTTTGTAGTATTTCACTTGTAGATTTAAAATTTTATCTTGGTCTGTTGTAGCAGACCCATTTTCATCATATAGTTCAGTTATAATCTTTTTTGTTTGGCGACTCTTTTCTAGTCCCAAGAAGTATGCACTATTTTTTTCTCCTTCTTCGAACCATTTTACCCTTGACCTTATTTTTTGTCCCTTAATTTTGTCTTTATACAAGCCCTCTAAATAATTTTCCACATTTTCAATTTCTTTTTGTAATTTTTGATTTATATGGGTACCATTATTTATTTCTTTGTTGAGATAATTCAGCTGTTTTTCTAAAATATTTATTTGATCTTTTTTTAATTTGGCTTGTCTTTTACAATAGCTTAAACTTGCATCCCGCACTTCTATTTTCAAGTTATCCCAAAGTATCCCCAAATCATTACAGTTAATTGATTCCTTTTCATATTTAATTATTAGATTTGTTATTATATTTACATAGTCCTCATTGTTTAATATACTGGAGTTTAATTTCCAGTAGCCACGCCCCTTATTTCCTCTATCAGTATTGATTTTTAAAGATACTGCATTATGGTCAGTTAGTTTTTGAACAATAGGTCTAATATCACAACTTTTACAATTTTTTAGTACTTCCTTGGAAATCAAGAAATAATCAATCCTGGTGGCCTCTGATCTATCTTTCCTACTCCAAGTAAATTGTTTTAGGTTTTTATTTTTGTTTCTCCAAATATCTATTAATTTACATGATTTTATAAGCCCCTTTAAACTTGTAACTGGTTTATCAAATTTTTTGGAAGATTTAGTTTTATTTTTTGTATCTATCAATGACCAGATGTCGTTGAAATCACCCCCAAGAATTGTTTGACCTAATCCATATTTATTTATATAAGATTTAACTGTTTTGAAGAAACTATTTCTTTCTCTTAATTTATTTGGAGCGTAGATGTTTACTAGCGTGTAGATATTTTCATTGATTTCAATATTAATCAGAATAAATCTCCCTTCAGAATCTTTGTGTTCATCAATAATTTTGAAATTAATTCTATCTTTTATCCATATTGCTACCCCGCGTGAATTACTTGTACCATCACTTCTGAAAAGATTCTCGCCAAATTCTTTATTCAATGTATTTTGCATTAAATTGATAAAATGAGTTTCTTGAATGAATATTACATCACATTTTTGCTGATTTGCCCAACTTACTATTTTATTTATTTTTTCAGGTTGCTGTAGGCCATTAGCATTGACCGTGCATATATGCAGATAATTTCTCATGGTGGTTTATAGTTGGATATTTTAAATTTCATACATGGTGAGTAACATTTTTTTACATTAATAATAACACATTCTATATATTTGTTCTTTGATATTATTTTTTTATTACTTTTGACTGCCTTAAAACTAAATTCGTTTAGTCCTGCTTCTTCACAAGAATAATTTAGAAGACTGTTTATATACTGATGAAACGTTTGTTTCACCTTAGTATTGACATTATACGCTTCACTGATTTCTATTAACTTTTCGAATCGTTGGTATTTAAATTTTGAATTTACATCAATCACGTCAATAACTAAGATTGTTATCACCAGTAATACCGCTTTGTTCACGTTATTCTCTATTTTTATCCTTTGTGTATTCCTGGTTGATATTTTAAGCAGTTCATTTTCCCGTGTTTTAACGTATTTAACATGTATTATTTTATCGATCTTCTCTAGCATTAGTTTTGATAACCTATGATCATGCTGATTATTTTTATCACTTTTATGGTGTTTATTTTGTATAAAAAATAGACTTCCGTGTTCCAGGTACACTCGATCTCTAGTTTCAATTTCGTTCGCTCTATATCTTGACCTCATCGTATTAATAGACTTTTTGGTCAAGGTTTTTTCGGAAGACTTTTTAAATAGGATTAATTGTTTTTCCATTTCAGGATATTTTTTATCAAATGATAAAGACATTAATTTGATTGTATTGTAACTTAACCTACATATTCTCAACCACGTGCCTGTGTTCATAAACATAAGCACATGTTGACTCAATTTATGTTTACGTGTTAGTTTGTTATTTACACGTGCACGACGCTTTATGTTTGGCTGTAAAGGTGTATACCACCACACACTTAATACAGTAAAATACAATATATACCATAAAAACATTTTGTATTCTATAATGTCTATATTACTGTTGTTAAATTTGTTTTCAACTTTTATTTTATTTAGCATGTTTAACTTAGCGCTATGGTTTACATCTTCTATAAAGATAATTGTAATAGCAAGGTATAGCTTTATACATATTTTAGACATCAGTGTTATTAAACAAATAACTACCTTTACACAACATACTATGTTTTTAACTAGACTCTCAGAATAAAAGTTCTTTGCTATATTATTACATACATGTACATTAATGTACTTTGATTCATACATATTTTGGTTATTCCTATATACAAATTGCTTAATTTTTTTATTTGTTTTTTTCTTTTTCAGGATAAAAATTTCATGAAGAATAGGCTGTTTATGATCTTCATTAGTGATATGGATTTGACTCTCTATCATTCTGCAAAGTTTAAGTGGACAACCTTCAACAGTTATGTCACACAAGCATACTAAGACATATTTCAAATAAAATATACAGTTAAAAATAAATGAAGACAGTGCTATACATACAGTTTTGTGAAGAATATGGTTTTTACAATGCATATTTTTAGATTTTTTTTTAATAATTTATAATAAAAGAATTCTAGTCTTAGATTTTGTAATTCATTTAACAAATATCAAATTAGCGCTTCTTTTTCGGCTTCTTTGCAGCCTCATCTCTTGTTGCATCATGTAAATTCTCTGTTGGAGTAACTGGAGATTTTTCAATGTTTTGTGTCCTGGTTTTTGACTGTTTTGGTGTGCTATTTGTTGTATTGCTTTGTTCATGACTAGGTTTTGTTGTCAGATACTTTGAGATACCCGGTCTCCTGTCAACACTTCCTATGTTTTTTGGTTTTTGGTTTTGTTGTTGTGAACTGTCTTTTCCGTAAGACCTTCTCTCCTGAGTACCGAGGATCAATTGCGAATGTTCCCTGTCACTATCTGACCTACTTCTATCCTCGGTATTCACGAGAGGTTTTGTCCTGCGCTGGGAATAGACTTCACTTTCTTGGAATGACTTATCACTATTATCGGTACAGTCTTTGTTGTGTTCATCATTCTCACTTGCATTGGGTACATCTTGATTGCCGACATCATCCATGTTTGTCATATATGTATCATCTTCATCATATTCACCATCCGAATGCTCATTGCACTCATATTGCTTGTGGCCTAGTTGACCACATTTTCTACACTTCCATCCATTCGGACAAGTGTTTGCTGAATGTCCTTCTTCGAAGCACTTGCTACACTTCATATTTGGTCTGTTTGTGAACGATTGGCCAAAGTGGTTGATTGTTGCCCAATATTTGCCTATCTGCAATGACTTTGGCAGCGGGGGATTAAACGGTTTGCATATTACAATCCGATCGCCTGTTCTGCAATTTGTAAGGAGGTTATCAATTCTTAATCTTTCCCTGAAATGAGTAATTACCTCACACTTGCTAGCTGTAGTTTCAAGAGTTCTAATTATCTGATCGTCATCTGCGGATAGAGGCACATTTTTGACTCGTACCTTCATTGTATCTTGTTCTTCATCCATTGTTATTTTTGGGTTTCTAGAGTACAGGGCTATAGATTTTGTTCTTATGGTTATCCCCAAGGACAGTAGATCTTTTTTGTCATATTCATTGTCGAAATATATTCGCCAGACGCCTCGAACTCTCTGTAGTCCAATTAAAGCTCTTACTGGCACCTGCTCGTTTATTGCCTTATAGACCTCTGTGTTTGTAAGAAAAAGTCGTTGGCCTTTATAATTTACAGCATTATCACCAAAGACGTCTGCTTCAAGGAGAAATATTGGTTTGACATTACCAATCTTGTAGTCATCATTTTTGCTTTTGTTTTCGCTACTAGCTGCTTCAGCATAGGAGGCAGCCATTTTGTTTTGTTCGTTTGGATTTTGTTTGTCGGTACACATCAATAAATGCTATAATTGCTTATCAGTTTTGGTATATTTTAGTCTCTATAGTACTGTAAACATATGTTGTATATGCACCACACCAATTTCATACCATACTTTAGTTGAAATCTTCTGAATATCAATTTTTTTTGCGGAGCTATGAAACACTAATCACCTTAGTTCAAGGGCCATAACTCTCTTTTTGATCTTTATTTTTATTTTGCCTTTTAATTTTTTCATCTATCTTTTTTTAATTTATTTTGTGGGAAACCTTCCCATAAAAAGAGGATACGACCCTTATACCCCCTTACGTCCATGAGCAATTCCTGCTAGGCAGAAATGCATGCAATACAATTATTATTCAAAAGTTGTAAGATTTTACCATGCAAACCGACCAAACATTTAAATGTAGGAACATTATTTTGGTTTGGTGACCTTTTTATTAACCTAAGCTACATCTATTGCCATATCTACGGATCAGCGTATCTTTTCAATAATTTTTCTATTTTGAGAGCTAAAAAATTCAACATAAACTGCGATGTTTGTCAAGAGTATGATAATTGTTAATAATTCGGGGACTACAGTTTTGTTATAGATGGGTTTTACCAATAATGTTACAGAAACAACACAGTGAATATTTCAAAATTTATTTGAGATCAATATCTGTCAACCTGAAAAATAAGTCTTACCTGATTTTATGCACAAAGACAGCTTTGGTAACCTTCAATTATGGGGATCAAATTGCATATTTTCATAATTTGTACCGTTTTTAACAGTTATCATGACACATAACATAATATCTATCAAGTTGACAAAACGTAAAATAACAAAAATACTGAACTCCAAGGAATATTCAAAACAGAAAGTCCTTTATCCAATGGCAAAATCAAAACCTCAAACACATCAAACGAATGGAAGACAACTGTAATATTGTGACTTGGAACAGGCATTTCCTTATGTAGAAAATAGTCGTTTAAACCTGGTTTTATAGCTAGCTAAACCTCTCACTGGTATGACAGTTGCATAGAATTCCATTATATTGACAACAATGTATGAGAAAAACAAACAGACATAATGGGTAAAAATGTCAAAAATTGGGGTACAGCAGTCAACATTGTGCTGTAATCTTAATAACTATTTCAACAAAGAAAAACAAAACTGGAATAAATACACTCTATAGACAAAGTAAATGAGCACAAATGAAAGACAAGAATACAAAAATTATCATAGCACAATAACATAATGGCGGAGTGTATAAATACCGAGCCACGCCAAAAGTATATTACCAAAATGGACTGAACATTAAAGGTTAAAAATTTACAAAGACAAATAAAAATAACACTATAACACGTATTTAAGATGATAAACAACGTCAGTACCTAGAATCTATATATACGTTCTTTGACATAACCCTGGTTCATTAACTTTCTGATCAGACACTGGTGACGTGTTATAAAGTCTGAGTAGCAACTGCAAGCTCATGAATACGAATGAGCTGGGAATGTATATCCCATATACGGGTGAATTTGTTATATTGCTGCTAAGTTGGGGGAAATTTATAATTTCAAAATTAAAATCGTCTCGTTTGTCATAGATTCTGGTACTGAGATGACCGCTTATGTCAAATTCGTGGTATAAGTCTAAAAATGAGGCGGAGGAAGCCATGTCTGTTGTTTGTTTAATTTCTAGTTCTGGAGGATATATGAATGGAACCAAATCAGAAAAGTGTGGATTGTTAATTGAAAATCATCATCAATATATCTGAATTTGAAATTAAATGATCTGGCTTCTGTGATCTTCTTGTTTTTTATAAGTGTCTAAAGGAACTTCGACTAATATGAAAATAAGAAGAGTTCGACAAGGAGAGGCGCATAGTTCGTTCCATTAGGAATGCCAACAATTTGTTGAAAAAGGCTACCTCCAAATTCAACAATTATGTTGTCAATAAGAAATTCAGCATACTGATCACTTGTCCCTCTGTGTAGCATATTTTACCTTTTTGTTCACTATTAAAACAATTTGCCGTATGGTATCCCAAAGCAATAAATTTATAGTGTATGCTACCATTTTTATATCGGAAAGCATTTTGGATTATTTCTTTTAGACGATTTTTCAAAATGGGGAATGGTGGTATACAGGGTTGAAAAATCAAAAGTTTTGATAGAATGAATTTCAGAGAAAGATCGAGGTTTTATATTATCCAGAAGTTCTATAGAGTTTTTTAGAATCCACATATGGTTAATACCACTACGCGAGTTTCACTGCGGACAAT